AACTATCATTTACATCCCATTATATTTGCTGAAGTGTCGGCTTCAAAAGTATAACTCGCTTTTTTTCAAATTTTGTTTCGTTGCTGAGAAAATTCGTTTTTTCTAAACCAGTAGCGAAAAAGTCGGAATTCTATCCGTAGTTTTCAATTTTCTCGATCAGAACGCAACTTCTATATAATAAAAATATCATATTTAGAATCAGGATCAAAAACTCAGTCGACTGATCTGTATTTCAAAATTTTTAGCTGATTTCAGTTTTGGATGAAAATCTTGATGATTTTTCAACGTGAAAATTCGAAAAAAACTAAAGTACTCGAATAGGATAGGGATACACATCAGTCGATTCATTTTTTCATCCTAATTCTGAATATGATATTTTTATTGCATAAAAGTTGAGTTCTGGTGGAGAAAATTGAGAATTACGAATTACATTCAAACCAGCAAAAAAAATTTGGGACTCAAAGGGTTAAAATGAGTCCGAACGTTCGTCGCTTTGACAAACTTTTCCAGTGGATATTCTAATGCATATATATATATAACAAATAAAACTACTAAATAAGTCTATAGTAATATCATGCAAATTGATTATTAATACGAGAATTCTCTTGTCGGATTAAAGAATAAAGATTCTTCTTAAATTTTAAATAGCCAACAAATGTTGTCCATAGATATCATCATTATGAGAATTAATGTTTGTATTTACGAGTCACGTGCTACATTTGTACAGTCATTCGCGTCAGTGCAGTGTCGACTTGTATTTGAGTAAGAGACTGCATTTTGCTCGTGATCAGAAGCATCTAAAAAATGAATCATCTATATTGTTCAAATAAATATTCTATCATAAAAAACTAGCTAACGTTCATCTGTGATTTCATTCAGTTCCTTGACGTTTTATCTTTTGTTGTTGATAGGAAAAAATTTTTGCGACATTTTAAGATTCTCTAATTAAGTATTTAATATTTATATACTCGACGACATACTATAAGCCGTGTGTATCAACCGTTTCATTTTAATGACAATAAAAGTATTCTTTACAATGGTCTATATAACTTCTTTTATGTTTAATCAGTATCAAAATGTAAGGACTACATCTCAAAAGAGACACAATATATATTCTCAAAAGAGATACAAATGCATATTTTAGAATGTATCTGTTTTAATCAATTAAAAAGTATCTCTTTTGAGAAGCTACAAATGTAGACACATGCATTCGCTCTATGTTTATTATGACTTTAGCTTTTTATTGCATTCATCTACATATATCAGAGCAGAAAAGTAACAGCGCCTAAAATCTTTAATTAAAATCTTTCATTATATGTTTTTAAAAGAATAATTTTGAAAATTTCGAATGACGTCATATGTTTTCATATACGTTGCTATGTGGACAGATAGACAAACAAACTATTTATTTCGTAAGATCCTGACTTTCGTCAAGGGAATTAAACAGTTTTGTGTTTTGATCTATACTAACATATTATTTTACGTTCTATTTAAAAGCACATCCAAGTGATAATTACCACGACTCCTAACTACCGTTAAACAGCGAATAGCTAAATAATTTACGTACATTCAGCACATCGACAATAAACGTCAGAAAGGCTCATAATATTCAGTAACGCATGCAATTACAGCTTTCCTTGATTTTATTACTTTTTGATATAATTGTCATGTTCTCCAGTCGCAGTATGTGAGAAATAAGAAGTACAAAACATGGATCCGTCATTCACTTGTAAGAGCTAACTATAGCCCTTGGAATTTTCGTGTGATCATGACAATTTTTTTATTAATAAGCTGTTGCTCATGGTTTGGTATGATTCCTCATTGATCCAAGTATCTAATTTACAGAAAAGTGCAACATAATATGCAACATTTATTTTTTCACAAATCGTCTGAGGTCTTTATAAAGTAAAAATTCTAAGAAAGTTGCCTTCAAAAACTTGTTGTTTTTTCACATCAAGCGATGCGGTTTTCAGCACTGATTCCAAATACCAAATTTCTTTTTCGGCTAGAAAAAAGTATGAAACAACTTGAAAGATCAGAGTTTTTTTATTTTTACAAAGCTTATATTGAGATTAAGAAAAGACGCATATGTGACAAGAGAAATTGAAATCTAGTGGAATTATAAATTATCCTACAATACAACGTCGTACAATTTATTTTAAGTTTCACCTTGGGAGAAAAAATTAGCTACATCTATATCTATCAGAAATGTATGTAGCATCCCTACAGGTGATATCATTTTTTATTATCACAAGTGTCAAAAGAGAATAGTCAATGTTGCTGAATAATCAATAAATATTTTAAATATTTGGACAACCTTTTCTTGTATCTGGATGACATTACTTGTCACATTTAACTCCTTTTCATTTGTAAGGATCGTGTTTTGTTGCACATTAACCTTTACATTTTCATGCTTCTCTACATTAGTACCATCATCAGTGAATATATAATTCTACAAGCATGTATAAAGATCATTGTAGAGAGTGTAAAAGAATCAACAATACGCAAATCACTACAATTACACTTGGATAATTCCAACAGATCTCGATTCTGATATAATGATAATAAAATACATGTTATTGTGCATAAACAATGCATAATACTATCGTTCGAGGTACGGTATATTACTTACTTCAGAACACGTTTATCATGCCTATAATGAATGACCAACACATTCCTATGATTCTTTTAATTGTTCGTAAAGTTGTTCGTATCTCACTATCACATCATTCAATTTATCTTTATAAATAACTGGCTTTTCATTAATCTTAATTAATATGATATGTTCATTTGCCTAAAATTTGAAATGAGCGGCACCCCAACCGTCTTTCAATGATAATATAATATTTTAATATATTGATTGTATAATTACGTATTTTCGTCGAAAATTTTCGCTTAAATTTTCCATATGTGAATTAAATTTCAACTTGTGGAAAAACGGCCGGTAAAAATCTTTTTCTCAATTGATGAAAGACCGGTGCAAAGTTCATGAAAATAAAAAGATTGTGTTGAGAGGAATTCTTATTTAAAATTTTATTTCTGTACTGAATGGAAAATTTTAGTGTGTTTTTCATCAAACTTGATATTCACTTGAGTTTCTAGTTAAAAAAACTGGCCGAATTCACCTTATTACCAGATATGAATAGAAAGTCATTGTCTTACTTGGTTTCCTAATTTTTGAATAATGTTTATGTGTGTTAGAACGTGAGAATTATATTTCCTGTCATAGAGACGTATTCTTGTCAGCCGAGAGGCTTAATATTTGATGAAAGTCTTGAAACAGAAACAAAGGATGAAAAAATACTTGCAAGAAAAGAAAGTATTCCTTCCTGCTAGTAGATTATAATCCATAGCCATCAGTCACACACTTGAGTATGTGTAAAACATACTTCGCTATTTTTATTCTTTGAGTCTTATCAAGCATAAAGTCTTGAAAAACATTTTCAGTCTTTAACGGTTAACAAATCGGTGAAAAATTGACCAGTTGAACTGTTCAACCAGTTCTGTCTAGCGTGATCAGAGAGGACTTGATTAACTCTGACATTAAACAGTTAGTTTAGTGAATAAAACTTAAGAGAAAATACTATAATTTTCTTGAATGTTCACAAAGTTGAGAAAAAGATTGTTTGACAGATACTAATATGAAAATTGTTTTAATGACAGTACAAGTAGCCTAGGAAATAGCTGTAATAAAAACAATTTTCATATTAGTATCTGTCAAACAATTTTTTTTCTCAACGTTGTGAACATTTAAAAAAATCACATAGTTTTTACTCTGAAGTTTTATCCACTATATTTATTATATAATTTGGCTAAAAACTAATCTATGAGCTCAATTTTTTTTTTGATTCTGAAGACAAATGATTAGTGTATAGCATTAGACACCGAAATTTGAATAAATTTCATTTTTCTAATGGAATAAACATAAAATGATTTTAGCTGTTTCTTGTCCGAATTTTGATAAGTCAATCGTTGTGTCACATGGTTTTATTTCAACGAATCTTACTGTACACAATGAGAAATAATACATTTGAAAATATACAAAACTAATTTAAACGTATTTGAATGAAAAATGTAAATCTTTGAAGAAGAAAAACTTCACTGTTTCCTCGTTTGTTGCATTTAGTTTTTCATTTTTCACTTTTACATTTTGTAATAAGACACTGACACTCAAGGCATTTTTTTTTTCGTAGACAGTTGAATGGGCGTTTAGTAATAAAACATAAGTTCTAGAACGTCTAAAAATTTTGATAAAACTCAAAAATACTACTGGCTTCTTAGAGAGCACCCCACACGATATATAATATGAAGTTTACTTTATTCTTTGTAAAAAAATATGATTTAAATAATGTATAATTAGATGATGTTAGAGCCAATCAATCAAAATCAGTAATATTTTAAAGAAGCAGCCATAATTGAAAAAAATTAACTGTTTATTCTTTATTAATAAAGAATTTTTATCAATTATAGCTGCTTCTTTAAAATATGACTCAAGCAATGTAAAATATATGAAATCATCGTTTAACTTTTATAACATTCATTCTCACATTTACAATCTTAATTCTTTATTACAGAAAAAGAAGAAGAAGAAGAAGAAGATGATATGATAGATCCAATTCTTACAACAAAAAAAAGATTTTTCTTTTAAAAATTACTTTTTGTTTATATCGAACAAAAATATAAATGTTAAGGAAAACAAATTCAAAATTTATTTGTTGTCAAGTTACTTTAACCAATTTTTATTTTTATTTTTTTTTGTTCTATTTCTATTCTTTCCCACGATCTTTTCCCTATAGACCAAAAAGAAAAATTACATTTACCGTTCACGTGTCACACAGAGACATAAAAATGGTAAAAATATTTTTACTTTTTTTTTTTCAAATAACATATAGAAATTGTAATTTTTTGTTTGAGTGTAGGTAAGAAGCATACTATTTTTTTTTTCTTTTTTTAAACGTAAGACAAAATTCAAATAGAAACAAAAAAATATCAAATGAACAATGTTGACAATCGGAACATCGGCATCAAACAATGAGATAAGACAATCAGCCGTAACTAAGACTCCATCGAGAAATACTTGGATTTATGGAAGTACGTATGTTGAAAATTTTGATGATATTTATGATTTGGACGATATAATTGGAAGGTAATTTAAAATTTAAAATATAATTTAAGAAAAAAAAAATAAATAAAAAATAATTTAAATGTTTCTTAAAATATTTAAAATTTAATTTATTTAAATAACTATAGTAATAAAGTTTTTTACATTAATGATAGGGGTCCACATACTGAAGTTTACAAATGTAAATTGAAAAATCGAGAAACAATTCGTACTGTCAAATTATATCAGAAAAATGTAAGTTATCAATTAGAAAAAATCAAATATTTTTAACAAAAATAGAGAAAAACAAAAAAAAAACAACAAACGTTTCTTTTATTTTTATTTTCTAGCCTGAACAAAAAATATTGTCAAAAAATGCATCTATAGTTTTACAACTTGATCATCCAAATTTGGTACATTTATTTATTTTTGAATTATATTAATAATAATAATCATAATAAATTTAATATTTTTTTATATTTGAAGGTTGTTTTACGCGATATTTTAGAAACTCCGACACATTTTTACTTTGTCGGAGATTATATTGATGGTATTAATCTTATTGAAAAGTAATATTAAAGATATGGTGAAATGTAGAAAATATATAATAGAAAACTTGTTTTTCTTTTCTTTTTTCAAAAATAGAATTATTCGAAGTGATGTGTATACCGAATATGATTTATCAAAATATTGTAAACAAATTTTAATTGCATTACAGGTACATTAATTACAGAAACAAAAAAAAAACTAATAATAATAAAATTTATTAATTTAAAAATCTTTAGTATATTCATAATAAAAATTTGTATCATGGAAATTTGAAAGCAGAAAATATATTAATTCATGATGAACAATTATGTTTAACAGATTATACGTACGCAAATTTATTTCAACGTAATGCTTTGTCACAATTAGTTAATGTTAGTCCACGTTATTGTGGTAAGTAAATCAAAAAAAAAAGAAAAAAAAATGTTTAATCTTATACTCTTGATGTATAAATTTAAAAAACAAAAAAAAAAAATGAATTCAATTTATTTATATTTTTCTTTATTTTAGCTCCAGAATTGTTACGTGGTGAAGAGTTTACATCATGTTCTGATATGTGGAGTTTGGGTATACTCCTATTTTATTGGTAAGTTTTAATTATGTTTATTGTACAATCTTATGATAATTATTATTTTTTTTATTATTAGTTTAACGGGTACATATCCATTTGGAAGTACACATAAACAAATATTTCATAATATATTGAAAGAAAAAATTGATTATACTATTCTAGAATGGAATCATGTATCTGAAAATGGCCAAGTAAGTGATCTTTTTTTTTTTTCTTTTTTCATGGTCAGTATTATATTTATATTTTAGAATTTTGTTGCTCGATTACTCAAATTTCTGCCAAAAGACCGAATGACAGTCAATCAGGCATTACAACATCCTTGGATTAGAGAAAAAATATATAAATCAACAAATTTACAAGAAGCACAAAGAAAAATCACCGAGATACGCAATGACACGCAATGACTTGTTTGATTCTATTTTAGTGTAAAATATATTTTTGTTTTTTTACAAATAAAATTATTTTTCTAACAGTTTTTTTATTCATTAGTAAAAAATATATTTAATTCTTTTTTTTTCCATCGTACTTGATGGATAAATATTTCATAACAAGTTGCTATGATGAATCTCGTAATTTTATTCCATATTGTGAATGATTATCTCCAATATCTGATATATCAGCTTGATAACAAATGGGTACAGTGGACGGATGATTGTAAATTCGTACAATATTTTGATTCGTATTATTCACTGAAGTAGGAACTCCATGTAAATGATGATGAATAAATTTTATAAGAGCAATTATAACAGCTGCACCAATAATGACTAGAAGTAATATACCAGCAGCCGGAAATCCACTCTTTTGCATCCATCGAGGTGTTGTTGTTGGTGGTAGAACAGTATGTTGACAATAATCTTGTTGATTATCCATATTTTGAACATTTGTTGAATACTTAATACAGCTAAAATAAAAAAATATTATAGAATATTATTAGAAAATAATTGAAAGAAGGAAAATAGTCTACCCGCAAGTGACATTTTTTAGACGATTTGAATCACAATCACATTTCATAAAAAATGAAACTTTCGGTTGTAAACAGAGTACACCACATCTTTTGTCATTACTACACACTTGATAGCATCGATCATCATCCGTCGTTATTATTCGTAATTGACAAAGAGTGCAAACATGTGAAGTATATAACGGTTTAATACAACAATTTTGATGTAAACAATAGGCATAATTATTTATATTAGGCACTAAATGTATTAATTGTATTGGTGACGGTTCTAAATGTGCTCGACATTGTCTAATCGATGGTAGTAACGAATGTCTACAAGATGTATAGGTAAATTTTGTTAAAAACGTCTCATTTTCTGATCGACACAGACATAATGATGAATTCCAGAGTTGATTTGTACAACAATTATCTGTACACTCATCCATAGTATAAATGGTTGAAACTAAAATGAAAAAACTTTCATTTTTAATAATAATTACAATTTATTTTTACTATATTAATGATATTTTTCACTCACTATTGTGTAAATTCATTAAAATTGTAAATGGGAATACAAATATTGTTATCAATTTCATATAACGTTATATAACATGATGTTAATCAACTTGAAATTATGTCTAATTTTTTCCTTTTTTTAACAATAATAGTTTTAAGACAAATCATTTGAGCTTTATTACATCTTCTTCTTCTGCTATAATTGTCATATCTTTTTTAAATATACATTTCCATGTTTATATCATATTACATCCATTAGAAAAAGTTTCTTTTCTTACTATCCTAATAATAAGAGGAACTATTCATTAAATGGTACAAATCTATATGTCGTGTAAAAAACGAACACTTTTTTAGGTCAATGAATAGCTAAGTGGAAAGACAAAAAGGACAAAACTTCCTTGTTTAATCTTGTGAAAAATATATATTAAGAGAGAAGAAATGTGTGTCGCACAATATGATTGCGACTAATAAAAGAAAGCTAAAAAGTTTTTTTTGAGAATCAGTCTGATTACGAATAAGAACATCAAAAAGCACATAAAGAAGACGATACCGCTTTATATTCTTATATATATATTTTTTTCAAGTTTGATTGTTGTAACATGTTTCGAGGTCATTCTCTCTGAAACAAAGTTAAAAGAACAATCACAGCATCAAATCTTACTTGGGTAAAAACACGCACGATGTACAATTAAACGGGTCTTTACATATACACATCAAACGAAGAACAAAAAACAAAATTGGATTTTCCTAATTAACTTTTGCCTTTTTATCTTACCATACATAAATCATCCTGTTTTTCTTGAGCCTTCAATCAAACGGATAAAAATATGAGTTAGTCTTTTTCTTTTTGTCCTCAAGAATAGTAATAATGACTTTAACAACAATTGACTTTTAAACTACAAAAAAACATGGATATAATCTATATTTTATTATACAGAAATTTTGAGAGATAATAATCTAATAAATAAATAAGTATGAAAAGCTGTCGACAATTAGAAGATCCAAAAGAATACCGCATAATTGACAGCTTAATGGGTTGCATCAGCGAAAATAACTCATAACACAATAAAAATATGAAAAATGGGTCATAATAGAGCAGACTTGTATACAAGAGATAGGTATAAAATTCTTTGTTTCGTAGCTTCATTTAATTACTCAATTCTAAGACTATTCTAACGGTTTTTTTGCATCAACTTTCCACTGAATTTGGATAAATATCAATATTACAGTATTTTCATAAAATATTGGAATACACAATGGAAACAAAACTTTTCTGTATAATATCTCATTCTACGATGATGACGTGTTGAATCTTTTAAGCTTTAAAAAGCCGTCTTCAAAATAAAGAGTCAAGCAGACTCACTAGTACAATTTTGTCTATATGCAAGGTATTCAACATATACCACATATCCTCGTTCTTTTCTCAGTTCTAAAGTGATAGTTGATACGTCTAAAAGTCCAGAAATAAAAACACGAAGATTTAATCCTAAATCTAAAATTTTCAAGAAAATCAATATTAATGGGTTTGAAATATTTGTCTAGATAATTGTCAACTGCTTGGTTACTGTTATTTTGATTATAAAAGGATAATAAGAAGTTCGTTACCAAATATTTTTGAAGCCGCCTCATGTCTTGAATTCCAAACAAATTAATGTTTCTTTCTCATAGTATAACTATGAATATAAACTAATGAAAAAGATGGATGCGTCTTCTGTTATATCGTAAAATCATCTATTTGAATACAAAAGAAGCAAAGAGTCTGGCAAGCAAGATTTCGAGTATAAACACAATTAACACACACATAATAAAAAGAAAAAAAGTATTTGAAATTGATGTTTAGTAATATCTTTATTTAATAAATAGCTGTTTCTTCATAGTTTTCAATTATCCAATCATTGTCTTCTTTTTTTCCACTATGTTTATCTGTCGTCAATCTTCCATTTATCTTTTCACCATTTTTTTTTGTTACACTTGTTGTTTCAACATCAACCATTTCATTTTTGTCTTCGTCAATCGTTTTTGTTTGAATATAATCAAAATTATGTGGTTCAATTGGTTTTGATCTAATTCGAAGAAAACTTAATCCCAATAGTAAATCATCGACGGTTGTTATTGAATTTGATAGTGCTGCAATAAATAAACGAAATTAAATTGATTAAAAAAGAGTGGAAAATAAGACAAATAAATTCTATCCTTACACTTTGTCTCATTTAAATGTTCTCGATAATTTTCCAACACTCGATCGTGACGGTATTCTAAAAATGTTATTATTTTATCCAGTGAGATATCTTTTCGAGCTGGAAAATATACAGTGGTTAATGCCCGTTGTAAAAATGGCCATTTTTCCCTTAAATTAATCAATTCATCATAATAACGATAATTTCCAAAAAATTTTTCATTTTCTCGTTGTTGTTGAGATACAACAGGTACCATCAATTTTGATGAATTTTTTTCATCATGAATATTGTCATAAAACATATTGTAGCCATACAATTTTCTCAAAACAGACATTCTACTAGCTCCTAAAAACCGTTTATGATCTAAAAATTCATCAATATTTTTTATTTCATTATCATAAATATGTAGTGATTCTTCTATACGAGCTAATTTTGCTTGTCGACGATTATCAATATAATTGTAAATATTTTCAGATGCTTTTTTAAGACGTTCAAGAGCATCGTCAACCAAGGCTTTTGCCTGTTCTTTGGCATCTTGTGCTTGTTTATCAATAAATTTTGTTACTTCTGCCACACCTTGTCGACGATCTTCTATCATTTGCTTTCGAATAGCCATCATTTCATCAAAAATATTTTTTCGATGACTCATAAAACATAAATAACAATAGACTTCATCACAATGTCGACAACGAATTTCACTTTGAATAGAACACATTGGACTAGTACAAACAGTAGATGACATAATACTAGCAGCTATAAAACAAATAAAAATATTTAAATTTTAAATTTTAAACGTGCACATATTTGAACTTCTTTAATCAAAGATTTCAAAGCACAGTTTGAGTATCAAAAGAGTCTACTATGGCAATATAAGTTCAAATTTTTACAATCGAAATAGAAGGAACACGGAATTTCCTCTAATAGAATCAAAGCAGTTTTATTGTGTATACAAGCAGTGCAAGTAAATTATCTTCTTTTTGAGATATTTCCACATTTGACCACAAGAAGAGTTCCATTGTAGCTTAAAGGTAATTCTGATAACTAGTCGAGACTTATGAGCACAAAAAAAAATTAAATATAGTTGAGAGAGCACATCTTACTCGAATAGCTAATTTCGTATCTGCTTTTTGAAAACTACTAAGGTTCAGTTTTCTTCAGAACTTACCATGATCACCCATGACCACAACAATAAAGTAAAACTATATTAATCACTAACCAAAAGAGGATGAATTGAGATAATAAAAATAATCAGTGGTATTTAAGAGGTCGACTGTAAATGTTATATGTGGAAGAGAGAAGGGACTAACGTTATACAATATAGTGGACGATTAGTCAGTCACTTTTGTTTTCTCATGTACAAATTTCTTTTATAGAAAACGTGTGGACACGCAATTGGAAAGTGCAACAATGGTAGGCAGAAGATGTTACGGCAAACAAAAGGCTCAAGTATTCATGTGTGAAATGGAGAACGCTTGAGTTCACTCTCATAACATAATAGTTCTATTGTGTACATAAATAACGTCAAAATGGACACAGTTATATATTTCACGAGTTCGTCTGACTGTATACTAAATCGAACTCGTATATGCGATGAACGATGGAAGATCTATATTTCGGATTCTTTGCATTCGATAATTTTTTTAATACAGAAATAGCCTTTTTTAGGTTAAAATGTGTAGGCAAATTTGGCTACTACACAATTTTAATAATCCGTTGTCAGTCCATTGTATGTATTTTAAAAGTAAACCTCTTCACGTTGGAACGGGGAGGAGAACGTTTTCATATCCGACAGGTGAAATTCCTTCACGTTAACAAGGTATGAAATAAAGGTGGAACAAATTCGTTGATAAATTTAAAACGCATTTTTTTTAAGTTATAAGTTTTTTTAACTATTGTAACTTTGGTCGAAAAGTTGAAAGAATTACTAAGTAGTTTGTTTTCAAATTAAAAGAAGTTGTAGGATATATTTCGTACTCTGTAAAGTGATTATGATATTAAAGGATTGTTTACATCTCTCAAGAAGATTAAAAACCTAATCTTTTAGATGCGAATTTGTGAAGAATGTTGATATAAATAATGCATCGAAGAAGGCATACTACAAAACCTCAGGTCAATAATTTCTATCTTCAAATTCCCTTCCCCCCCTTCGTACGGCGACACTTGCTACTTAAGACAATTTTTTAGCGGCATACTATTATTCTTAAGATATATTGAAAGTACTTCGCTCAATTGAATTAATTATTAGTACTAAGCATAATGAATCTTCTGTTGTTAATCCACATATAACTTATATACTAGGTTTTTTCTGCGTAAGTGCCTTAATATTTATGCGTATTTCTTCCTTCTTTTGACTTATTCATGAACACCTCGCCGCCATTTTTCTATAGTTTACGAACGCACATACACATATAATCACAATCATTTAGATCATTGACTACCAGGTAACGCTCATCTGCGACTTGCTCGGTCCCTTGACCTCACCTGTACTTCATAGACTAACAATGCGTGGCGCATAGAGAACCACGACTTTCAAGTTCGAAAAGATTGCTTACGTCTCCCTTTAGTCGGCGCTCGCACGACCATCTCTCGAGTTCAGAGTTACAAGGCTTCACTATTCTTGATAAACTTTCCCGTTTAACTTTGCAGAGCTTCATTATGGAAATCTTATATTTTTTTTCTCATTTCTAAGTAAAAACGAGTTACGAATCTGACGGTGAAAAACTATTTAATTTAGTCGAAAAGCGAGTGAGTTATGAGCCATTGATTGAACAAGATTTTTCCATATACTCTCTCTCTCTCTCTCTCTCTCTCTCTCTGAGCCACGTGTTTTATATATATGAATATCTGGTCTTTGTTTGTCCTCATTTTAAACAAAACACGAAAAAGACAATCGTTGTGTATTTATATACAATCTCAGTTAAGTAAGTTGTTCTATTAATGTAGTAACAAAACCATTCTACTTTTCTTGCAGTTGATATGCTTTTTTTCGACCTTTTCAAGTAAAACTATTCAAAAAAAATTAATTAACTTACAAACTAAGTAGACAGCAATATCAGAGAGAGAGTGAGAGTTAGCGAAGATAAATTCTTCGTAGTTTCGATTAGTCACAAAGATGAGCTACTGCTCCGCTGTCAGTTTCGAAGATCAAAAAGGATCTTCTCAGATAATTAGTTCAGCAAATCCAAGAACTCTTAACTCTTAAGAAAATTAGCTTTGAAAGAATGAACTCTAAATTAGCACTATAAGAAGAAACGACAGTGTAATTCTAACGATAAATGGTTAAAAAATTCACAATATTTTAGACAGATTTTAATTTATTTGTAATATGTGACTTTAGTTAAGCTCATCGGATATTTTAGATTGACATGACGTTATTTCGTTAAAATAAGCGTCTCCCATTCGGAACTTTCTGCCGCACATTCGAAAAAAATAATTTGAGACCTTTGATCAGAATAGAAATCCACAAACGTGAGGAGGGACCTAATACGCGAAGTTTTTCTCCGAACAGAATACAGCTACCGAAGAATCACATTAAACCTAGTTCAATAGTGTAAGAAGAGACAGTTAAGGAAGATATAGGTAATTGAAGGAGTAATCGCGACTCAAAACTGCTGTGTACCTAATTTGGAAAGTTCAACTTTTAAAATGTTCTAGTAGACTAACAAACTTGATTGCATCGTGTTTCCGAAGAAAAAATCAGATAAACACGGTGAAATCAAAGCTTTTTTAATGGCTCCAGAAAACATTTCTTGGGTGGAAGAATTTTCGTTAGAGAAATGGACATGTGAACTGGAAAACTATGAAAGGTTACAAATTTGTCAGATTTGTAACAGATCCTGCATAGAATCTGTTAAAAATTATGCTGACATCTGCAGTAAATCTGATGCAACTTTTGTCTACAATCTGCAGTGATCTGATGCAGAAAGCTGCAGATCTGCATTGTAGAAATATCTCTTTGGTGAGAAATGTTCCTAATTCTGAATTGGTATAAAAAGTTCGCGATCTAATATAAATCTAAAAAGGTTGCCGGAGATTCCCAGAGCTGAAAAATTAGTTCTAATACATTCTTCATGAAAAGTTATCTACATTCTGTCATTTTCGTTATCCGCAGATCATCTCGTTTGTGTTATCAAAATTTGCTGCTCTGCTCCACTATACATTTCACATCACCGCATCTTTTTGAATATTTTCTCTCTTGTACTTCAATGTATGCTAAAATAAGTCCATGGAAATTCCATTTAGCACAAACACAGGCAGGTCTTTTATGGCCTTAGGTAAAGCCAACAGATCATACCAACGCTGAAAACCTGTAGTCCAAAAGTTTCCTCGTCTCCTATTATGTTCCAATGTTGAAAGTTTTTTAGAAACGTTCTGGAGACCTTCAGGCATCGAATACCACGTTCAGACATCATTTCACACAGATAACAGCTCAGAAAACGGTAGAAATCCGAACATTTTCTAGAGCTCCTAGATCTCTGAAACCAGTCCCGACAGATCCCCCACGGTCGATTGCATATCTGTGGACCTTTTTCTCTGATTCTATTAATTTTTACGACGAAACGTCCAAAAAAATGTTTTCGTTGCAATTAATGTTTTATCGTAAAGTGGCGCCTTCTACTGAATCTATAATTCTTAAATCTTCTGTACATTAAATTCTAGTAAACTCTGTATATTTAATCATCATTTCCGACCTGCATTAACATGTGTCTTCTATTGGTTCTCTCATTTGATTGGATCTGCTGAGGATTACCTGACGGCCATTTGTCCATGTTTTGCACACAGACAGGCAGGCAACTCTTTTGTATGATTCTAGACTAAAGTTAGGGGAATAAAGAAAAAGAATGCAGTAAAACGAGATTTCTCTATTCTAATACTCAATACGGAAACTCGTTATCTTAGGCTTTGCTACGCTCTGCCTAGCTACGTATATTTTCATACTTCTTTCGAAATTTTCAAATATAACTGGTAATATCAAAAACGTTTATTAACTCTGGAGATTGTTTAGATTCGAATTTAATTGTTTAAAACAAGTCTAATGGGACCATTCAGAGGTAAAGAGAAAAAAAGGCCGCTATTCTGTTGAAATATTGTATTTTTATACTTTGTAGGAGGAGGAGGACGTGGAGGTGATCGAGGCAGAGGTGGTGGAGGAAGAGGCGGTGGGGGAAGAGGTGGTCGAGGAAGAGGTGGTGGTGGCGGTCGAGGAGGCGGAGGTGGTGGACGGTTCGAGCGACAGGGTAAGCGTTTCTTTTTGCTTTTTACCTTATATGCTGAACTATTTATTTTCGTTTATTGTAGATCAAGGTCCACCGGAAAATGTTGTCGGTAGATTAATAATACTTTAACTGGAATTCTTTTTACATCTAAGAATTGTTTTTTTTCTCTTTCTTTCCAGAGCTTGGTACTTATTCTCATCCATGTGAAAGTCAATTGGTGTGTAAAGCAACAAGCGATATGGTGCCGTATTTTAATGCAGGAGTTTTCCTACAGAATAAACAACAAATTGGAAAAGTTGATGAAATTTTTGGACCAATGAGAGAATACGTATCCTTTTATGCTAAAGATAATTCTGTCTATGGTATTTTACAAAAAAATGAGACAAAAAGGGATATAATGCACCGGCTTTATTCCGTTCTGGTAGAATTTAACTAGAATCTTAACTGTAATGTTGCATGAATTGGTTGAATTCCGTAAATTTTTAAAAATTTCGATAGACTGTCGAAATTTGAAACTGTTGAAAAAGATCTTATTTAATGTACGAAACCAGGGCGTGTTTTCTACTAACTTCGGACAAAATAAGATAAAACTAGAGTTAAAGAAGCAGTAGTTTTCAAACTTGCCGTATGTGGTATGGATATGTCCTAATCAGCAATCCTTTTAACTTTACATATATCAGCGATGATTCAGCTTGTTGAAGACATAATCATGTAAAATTTGAACTCACCAGCTCAATCTAAATCTTTATGTATTCCTTAACCCTTGTTTTATTTACAGTGGTTTTCAGTTTCATTGTCAGAAAATATGAAACCAGCATCATTCAAAAAAGATGAAAAGGTATAATCCTATTTAAAATCTGTTCTATCTTTCATGGCCATTCTTACTGATGTTATAGTTTTTTGTTGACACCGCTAAACTTCTACCATTAACCCGTTTTCTTCCAAATGCGCGTGGCACATCATCAGGTCGAGGAAGAGGTGGCGCCGGACGCGGAGGTAGGCTTTTGTTTTAATTTTGTTTCACTTAACTATTACAGAATCCCGAACTTTGAATATTCTTCTGTATGTGATATTGAAAATAAGAATTTTTAGTGAACGTGATGCTTAGAATGTATTATAAGACTATATGCATCATTCACGCAGGATCTGCACTCGTTGAGCGATAGTTCATTTCAGCAAATGTTCAATATTCATTTGTCAATTATTTCTCTTAGGAGGTTTTCGTGGCGGTTCTCGCGGTGGTCCACGTGGGGGCAGTCGCGGTGGTTTTGGTGGTGGAAATAGAGGTGGTGGTTTTGGTGGAGGAAATTTTCAAAGTAACAGAGGAGGTGGAAGATCATTCAGGGGTGGTGGTGATCGAGGACGATCGTTCAGAGGAGGAAACAACAATTTCCGGGGTCGTTTATAAAAAAATTGTAATTCAATTTTAATCCTTTTTGTTATGTTTTTGTACAAAAATACAATGTGTATTTTTCATTTGTTGATTTTGTAATAAATGACCGTTTTCTATTTCTGAATTTTTTTGAAAATTCTGGATGTGAAATAATAAAAATAGATATCGTATTATTACATAGGCACCCTATTATTTCCCTTTTTTATGATCATAGAATTGTATGCAAATTTATTAAGTTGTCGAATGATCTATCATTAAGACTAATTACGGACAGCAAGAGTTATTTAACTGTTGTTCCGACTGCAAATGGAGAATTTCAAGTGATCAACGTCACTATGTTAGATAATACTTACCTTATTAACAAAATTTTTATTCTTTAAAAAGTCAACAATCATGGTAGAAGACGATATATTAAGGGTATCCCCCTTATCGTGAGCATCCAGGCGGACATTTGGTGTAAAATTAGAAGTGAGCTTTTTCAAGATTCAGATAGTGTCACATATACTTCGATCTACGGGCTATCTAATGGTGTAAAACTTTTTGCTCCAAGCGCTCAGTTTTAGGAAAAATGTGTGTGCAAAAAATCCACATTGGTCCTAGGATCTAGGAGAAAAAAAATTAATTCTCGAACTGATCCTCGTTCCGTAAAAGTGCTTAGAATGTCATGTAGTCGCGCAAGTTAGCACAGATCGAATTTGATTCAAATTATACCAAAATGTCCGTGGTCATGTCCTGCATTCAGTATGAATACGGTTTTATGGAGTTTTCTACTGGACTCAGATATGTATTTTCCAAAAAATCTTTGTTCTTGGATTAAAATCTATTTTTTCTCGACTCAGAAACACTTTTATTCTCGACTTCAGAAACACTTGTTTCACCTTCGAGAATGAAAGTTCGATTGGGTTTAAATTCAGATCAGAGATAGAACACCGAAATCGAAAATCGGTGTATTTTCTTCCGGAATTTTCTAACATTTTCTTCTGGTTTCCACTGAAGTGCATTACGATCCCGCGGAAACTTCATCCGGTTTGATCAAGAATTTTACCTTAGGTACATGCGAACGATATCTCAGAACGGTAAGTATCCTTTTTCGTTTTTTGTTATTTCTTTCATAGCACCAGTATAACTCTGTTTAATTTATCATTAAAAACGTTCTCACACATGTTTATATAGAAGAGTAATTATAATAAAAAGGACAAGTTTTGAATAAGAGAAACGACATATTTTCAGTATTTTTGTATAAAACAAAAACAAAACGGAATTAAATGCTGATCATATCTACATATAGACAAGACAATGAGCTCTGCATGATGGTGAAAACGGCGACTCTCTAAGTACGTATGATTTTCAAATGGAAAACGAAAGACTATAATACTATACATGATATACTATACATTTGACTATATTTGTTCATCGTAGCGTCTTCCGCCACTTCCTCCGCATTAGAACTCTTTTTGTACGCTGTGCAATAGAAACGAACTAACTTTCATCAAAGTACGTTCGTCGTTAGATAACAGTTACACAGTGAGCACCCAGGCAGACATTTGATGAAAGTGTTTTTTTCTAAAGTTTGAACAATGGAATAAATACACCAATATGTGCTCTATCTTTTCCCACGAGGACAGATTTTTATCTAAAAAGGAACATTGAAAAACTCATGCTAAAAAAATTTGCTCAAAATTCGCTTCGGTTCCAAAAATACAACTTTTTTAGGTACGTCAAGAACTTGTTTCAATGAAAAAACATCTGGAGAAAATCTCCAATGTTTGGGCTATCTAATGGCAAAAAAATTATTTCGATTCAATTCCAAATTGATGAGAAAATTGATTTACATTCTAAAAATGTTTCTGAAAAATTATGATTAAGGATTCTAAGCCGTAAATCGCCATCCCATCTTCAATTTGACTTAACCGTTGACCAGAGAGCTACCTATATGTGATACATCAAATGACATATGTAAAAAACCGTGGGGATCGGCCAAACTGCACTGAATGTTTTTTTGGTAGAATGTGCTTTATTTCACTAGAAAACCATTTTCAAACAAAAAAAAGGTGATATTTGGAATCAGTTCATCGAGTTGCATCGAAGCATATATAAAACAAATATTTTCCATTGAAAAAATGAAGAGGTGAAACTCTGTAAGTAAAGAAATGGGCTGAATCATAGCTATATCTTCCGTAAAAATTGTATTTCAATAAATGAAGCGAATTCAAATTTGTAAAAAACATATCTTTGAAATCCCGACACTTTTAGGTAGCTATCTATAAAATAATTTTTCATTCACAAGCTAACCTTGAGGCTAAATAAAGCTTTTTCTAAAACAAAACCGGTTTCCCAAAAGATGTGTTTAGTGCAGTGAGAGCGCGAGAGTTAACGGCCTAATCAGACTCAAAATCATATAAAAATGTTCTTTGAAGTGTGCTCTATCCATAGTGAATGCCCATAACTGCCTAGGTTGAGTTATTGGTCTTCCAAAAAATCTTGGTTTACGACGTAAAATGCGTCTTTCTCAGTCCAGGAACATTTGTATAAAGAAATAGTGTGATATTTGGAATCAGCGTACAAAACTACATTGAATGATGTATAATTTGTTCATTTTCTGAACACAAGTTTTTCGACAAAAATTTAGGCAAGTGTCTCCCTCAGTGATTTTTCGTTTAAAAAGTTTTTTTCCAAGTTCCAGTTTTTTTAATTTATAATAACATTTCAAACGTAATAAAGTACTACTGAGCAAAAATAGTCTCTTTCTGAATTAAAAAAACCACATGATCACCTGGTCTATAGAACGGTGCCCATTGTGGGTTAGTTATGCGTATAAAGACGAAGTTGGTTTTAAGATGAGTAATACTTAACTCCAAAAAATGAAGTAGATCAACTTTTTCTCTCTATTTATTTTCGCCAAGTATTTTTAGGTTAGAAATGCAAAAAGAAACTCACTCCCTCCAGAAATGAAAGATAAATGTCATTTTCTCAAAAGTAGAAGCGGCTTTTAAAAGTCTTTCTCGCTCATCGTATGCACTGTTGTTTTGTCTTTCACACAAAAAAATTAAGTTATGTGACATTATTGCTAAAAAAAATGGTATCATACGATGGTGCTAGTATCGTTATCCAGGAAAAAATGATATACTACTAATAATGTTTTTCAGAACTTGTGGGAAAATACTCACGTTTCATTTCAACGAGACATGTTGACTCTACAAATTAATATATTTCGCTACATACGGTATGTAGCAAGCCAAAAATGTATGGAGTTTCAACACCTTTGGTTTATATACAACCTTCTGGAAAACTTTTTAAAAACTTACAAGAATCTCAGATGAAGAAAATTGTTATTTCTAAGTAGGAGATAGGGCATCCTTAAAAATGCATATTCTGTATAGTTGCACTTATGCGAGACAATACACCCCAGACGTGATGTAGGATATAGATCAACTCCGTTGGATTGGTTGTTATTTTTTCTTGTTTCCTAAAAGAGAGAAATACATACATACATACTTATATGTTGTCAGATATATCTCTATTTACCATCTACGTATTATTATTCTCAGCATGATTTAGTAGTTTATTTCTCGATTAAAAATCTCCCACATTGTAATAAAGAAGAAAAAATGTATATTTAATGATCGTATCAATACCGCGAGTAGTTTGATGAACAAGCAATTATACATCATTGGATTAATTGAAATAAATTGATAAAGATACTTAGTATGTATTGAAATATCATCATGCTAACATCACAAATATATCAAAACAACATATCGGGCTTACTAGAATTTTGAATCAATACTAGATATAGGTCGTAGACGTTAATATTTTGAACGATATAAATAAGTATCAGTATTATTGTATATTCAAAACTAGAGACAAACATGCATCTTTATTATTCTTTTTGAAAAATTTTTGAATTATTTTGTGTATTCAAGTAGTCTTTATTTTTTTTTTTTTTGACGTACCTTGAGACCAGTACAAATGATTGTTGTGTTCAAAAGATGCACTTGTTTTTGGATAATTGTTAGTTTAATGGATTATAGTTTTGAATGATTATCAAGTCGTATCATTTTTACACATTGATTTCTGGTAGCCAGTTCGTTAACTATTGGAATGTTATTGAACGAAAAAATATGTCTATACAATAAAAAGATAAGCTAATGAACTATCTTGAACCGTTTTCTTTTACGTTGAACATACAAACATGCACGCACATGTTTTAATTTTAGGGAAATCAAAAAGTCGTTTTTTTTTTCTTCTTCTTCGAATTGATAATATAGTCATTATGTGAGAGAATGATTGATTCATTCTCAACATTAAAAATCACTTATCTTAACGGATATTCAACACTTTGGAAAGAAAAACGTGCCGTAACCGACTAAAACTATCTGACAACAACAACAGTAGATTAACTTACTTCCTTAATTGTGATAGATATGTTTCTAGTTAGAAATAAAATAGTAGAAAACGAATTCTAGAATTCTATTTTGAAGAGATAAAAAAAAAAAATAGTTATTTTTTTACTTTCAATGATTGTTATCAATTCTTGAATACTTTTTTTTTATATTAACAAACAATATGAACAACTGTTCCAAAGAAAAAAAAATTTTTTTTAAAAAGAAACAGAAAACAATAAGAAAAACAAATGTGATACATTTTATATATAATAAAACGATGCATGTAATGAAATAAAATAATGGATCGATGAATTAACAACATATTAACGGGATCTGAGATTGTCACATTATAATGATAAAATAAATACAAAGAGATTATTGAAGTTTTACATGCCGCCTAGTGCTACACTATGTTCTCTTGCTTTTAGACGCAATGTGGCTATACTCGATTGACGATGATCGGGACTAATATAACCATAATTACACATTGTCGATGAGTTAAAATTCGATGTATTTTGTGATCCAATAGAGGATGATGGTGGAAATGGATAGGGCATTGTTCCCAATGTTCCCATAAAATTTTGTATTGGATTTGTTACTGATGATGGTGAAATTCCACCATTACCACACGATTGTATTTGCATAGGATTTCCCGTTTGATTACACCAATTATTTGTTGATAACTAAAATGATGAGAAAAAGTCTTAAATTATCAGAAAAAATAGATTAAAAATTATTTTCTTACTGATGGATATTGTGCGACGGCATTACTACTGATCAATGCCATATCGTATGGATTTGATGTATTGGCAAGTGTGCGTATCTGAGGAACTTGAGCATATCGTTCTCGTTTTCGCCATTTTGCTCGACGATTTTGAAACCATACCTAAAAATAGTGAAAATAAAATCAATGAGATTTAACATTATACAAGAACATTTAATAATAAAAACATTTTTTCTCAAACCATTATCAATCACCTTTAACATTTTTTTTTTTATTCTAGATTTTTTCAAAATATATTGTATATCCAAAATAGAGATATCATTTGCTTTTATCTTTGGCAACGACATAGAAAAAATATACGATAATTTCTTTTACGTTTTCTTTTTTTTTAATATATATATATATATATATATCCACATACACAAGTTGTCTAAGTGTAAAAAGGAGAAACTTAATTGAAAGTATCCATTCTACTAAATTCAAACCAGATGAAGTATATACAGATACAGAGTGATCAATATTTGGACAAATAATAATAATAGCATATGTTGCAAGATCAAAGTATGAAATCATTTATTTTTTATATTCAAACAATGAAATAAAAGAAAAATATCTTACCTGTACTCTTGCTTCAGTTAGATCAGTTCTAGAAAAAAAAATTTAAATAAATTAAAAGATTTTAACATTATTTAAAAATAAAAAATATTTTACCTATGTGCAAGTTGTTCTCTAACATATACATCAGGATAATGTGTTTTCTGAAAAGATAAAAAATATTCAATGAGATAACAAGAGTTTTTTAATTAGAAAAAAAACCAGAAAATATCTAACCTGAAACACACGTTCCATTTCTTCTAATTGAAAACTTGTAAATGTTGTACGATTACGACGTTTCTTTCGTTTACTATCGGAATCATTATCGTTATTATCACTATTTTGTCCATTGATTGACTCCGATGATGAAGCATTTGAATTTGTATGTGATTTTGAATGACTGTTACTGAGAGAATGGTGATGAAGATGACCAAATTTCTTCTCATCGGGACTTGATAACAAGGGAGAATCTAAAAAATAAACATGTGTACGATTACAGAGAAATCGATCGTTGAATATCTATTTCTTAAGATTATGAAGATTTAGTAAAAAAAGATGTCAGCGTACGTATAGTATGTCGAATTTCTTGTTCCTGCTGACCAACAGAGAAAAGAAAGCAAACTTTTAGAAAAGTCGTTTGATAACTGTTCACTATTCTAATCAAAAACACATGTGTTTTGATTTAAAAAGAGAAGAATAAAAAACGATTTAAGCACACCTAGAAATTGGATAGTTCAATGTCTTATTGAAGAAGACGAATGCACGCAACCAATTCTCCGGAGTATACATGATAACAATATCATCAATATGGTGAAGAATGACGCTCATTCATTCGAAAAATTAAGAAAAACGTCTTCGAATGATGAAGGCTATGAACTTATGTATTTTACAACTATCGATATATCACCACCACGTTCTTCTTGATTATGACTGTTAACGTATCTGTTTATCAGTGTACAGTCACGAATACCTGCTGAGCAATAACAACTCAATCACGTCAAACGAGTCAAGTCAATTGTGAAATGATTTTGTACGTGTATACAACTACTAGATGTAAAGAAAAGAAAAATATGTCCATTTTCTACTGAAAAATCAGAAGTTGATATATATCGATCTAAATAGAGTCGTCACACCCTCTTAAGTCTTGTTATCAGCCATATATAGAAGATGTTAATAAAGATGGATGACTCTAATATGATTCAATGATGCAGTGAATTGTTGAAATAACCATAGATATAATATGAATAAAACAGAAATAATCCATTACTAAGCACATCGTAGACTTCGACGATATGAGACAAACTAAATATCACTTAAATTTTTACTGTTTATATTCGTGTACAAGAATTGAATATTATCCATAAAATATACTACTATATTTACGATCAAAGAATATTCTTTATCATTCTCATCCCAACTACAGTTGAAGTGAGAGTCTTTTCCAACAGAATATGTTAATAATTGACAGTATAATGTAACTTTTAATATGGTCACTTTAACAATTTTAATATGTCTAATTATCTTAATTAATTAGATTAATCAACTATCATCGCAACAATGAAGACGAGAGTACATATTATGCAATCATATTATCCACACACACACAAGAGAATCATAGTGATAAAGAAAAAAGAAACTATACTACAATGTAATACGATTAACAAATTATCGTTATTAGAATAGAAAATAAAAAACATACACATATGTAATAATATAATTGAATTTATTAGCAATTTCTTTTACCTTGCATTTTTTCTTATTCCAATTTTATTTTATTTTTTATGATAACTTTGTTTTATATTTAAATAATGTGTCCAAGTTGTTATCCATACTTTTAAAATGAATGTGTAGTAGAATGAGAAAAATAATTGGAAAAAAAAAAACGAAAGAAAAGTTATTTTTTTACGACCAAAAAAACTATTTCAGTAAAATATGTTGTTGTTTTTTTCGTTCGTTTACATACCCTAATAATATTATTTATTCCTAGTTTAAGACGTTTATTGTTATCAATATGTTAACTAATACATATAAAAATTTACTTTTTTTTGATAATTTTTAAAATCTTACAACATTCAGATAGAATCGTGTCGATAGTAAAACAGTATTAATCATATTGTTTCTAATTAAAATCATTATTCAAATTTTAAAACAAAAATATTAGAAGTATATGTGAAATAAATATTTCAAAATAGATTAGTTTTTAATTAAAATTGATTTTCATTAGAAGTAAAAAGGAATATAATAAACATATGGAGACAGCAAACTTATGTCTTACTTTTATTTTTCTTCATAAAAATAGCTACTGTTTCTCTTGCGATGATACTATTAGTTAGTCCATATCTCTAAGATATCAAAATGAGTAATTTTGGCCCACAAAAATGATTATTTGCCCTTTCTAATCAGCTTTTGTACGCATTTCGTCAAATAGAACAGAGAACTATTATCATAAATCTAATCTATCATTAATTTACCTGTTCTTGTATGATGCATTACAATTGTTTATTAATTTGTTTGATCATTTTAGATATTCACTCATAGTTCGATTAATTAAATTTTCTTGTTAAATAAAATATATTTTATTTGTTGTATAATAATATAGGTGTGTAGATGATATGGATAATAATAGTGTTAAAAATAAAATAAATGTCTCAAATGTATGTGATGTGTAGTGATAATTTAATTTTTTGGTTCACAAGATTAATTTGTAAAAGATTAAACCTTTTTTTTTTTTATCG